CGGAGTATCAGTCGAATCTGTATCTGTATCTGACTGATACTCCGGAAATTCTGCTTGGCAACGAAATTTGGTGGGTTTTAGAGTGCTTTGTTTATTCAATTATATATAACGTTTCAATCCAAGAGAAACTTCGAGTTTTTATCAGCATATGTAAAAAATCTTCAGTCACTACGTGTTCTTCTTCGTAAGTCGGTTTGCGGAGCGAATGGTGCAAAATAAAGTAAGTGAAAAAGAAACAAGCATAAAATAAAATAAAATTACGAGCTGTAATCAGAATCCGATCCTAGGACCTCCCGCCTGCAAGGCGAGCGCGCTACCGTTTGGCCACGCGGTACTGATAAGGATTCGGAGCCTCTATCACCTATGTTTACCTTGTGCCGCTAGCGCACGCGTTTTTTCCGCATCTTTAGCCCTTTTTTTGAGGGCTTTCCCGACCCCATTCGAAAAAACGAAAAAATACGGCATCCCTAAAATCATCTCTATTATCTTCGTGCGAAATTTCAACTCGAAATTCCGGTTACACTTGGGAAGCTCCCCTTGTAAGTCTGTGTTTTAAATTATTTCATGAAATTTTGCATCTCTCCCCTTTACTTTGGAACAATCCTTAGCTGCAAGAAGTCTCTTTTTCCGTCCACCTCTTCTTGTTGTCTTTCCTCTTCTTCTGTCTAAAACGGCTTTTTGTCCCATTCGGCTGTTATTTCGAAAACAGCCAGTCTATTACATTTGAAAAAGCAATGACCTTGAAACGACAGCTTTTAATGTTTCCACATCTTGTATGACTCCTCTCATTAACTCGCTCCACTGAGCGCCGCTGGCAAGGCGTTAAGTGTCTGAAGTCAAAACGCCTTCAAACCCGTGTGTATGCAAGACGGACATCCTTGGAGCTCGAATAGTTGCATCCAGACGTTATAATTAAATTCGTTTATAATGTACGACACCAGCCGAAGATTTGATTGTTTCTCTTTTTCCTCAACCTAATTCCAGCGTTGCCTTTCGTGCCGATGACTGATTTTTATCGCGACCTCTTCAATTTGCCGAAAAATGTATTATTTAAAAGTATTACAACGTTGCCGGCCCTTGAAATCGCAGACAAATTAGGTAATTCAGTGTGATATGCAGAGTTTCCTTTAACCTACTTTAACGAGTCGCCCTATGTTTGCCTTAGGGTTTTGTTTTTATTTCTTACCGTCGGGAAAAGTAATTTTGATTTTTGAGTGCGAAATTTTCAAAGATGAACACCGATTAATCGCTGACCACAGTATGAGATTTCCCAGGCGCTATGATGAAACTGCAGCACAATGAAGTCTGGTGAATATATTAGTGATGATCATTAAATATGAAGAAAAATGAGTAAAATTTAAGTGAGAAAATTAAAATTGTCTGCTCTTTCCCTCCTGAAATGTGGGTTGCGTATTGTATATGATGAAGTTTAGCATTCTCATCACAACTGACATAGTTTCGTTGCCAACGGCGTTTTATCGTCGATGTAAATATGAAGTGGCAGCAAATTGCCCCGTGTGGCCCTTAGCCCCCTCCTTCGACACCAAAATACTTAGACATAAAATACGCAACACTAAATTTCGGATTTTCCGACCCTTAATTGGATTACATCTTGCAATAAGGAACCACTATCGCTGGCTTTTCCATAAAAGCACGTATCTGCATTGGGAAATCAATGGCATATATGTTGTTTTAAAATGAGCCATAAACAGTGGTTTCTTATTGCAAAATGTAATACAATTTCCCTCCCACCTCCGAACGCTCTCGTAACGTAGGTCCTTACCTGTTAACACGCCAAAACAAAATGGTGTAACGTGCAGTGGCGTGGCGTGCTTTGTGATACATCGATCTATCTGCTATTTCAACCTACGGAAAAGTATCGATGAACTGGGCGTTCGCAACGAACACCTTAATAATCGATTCTTTATCATAGCTTCTAATGGGGAAATTCGAAAATCGATCGTTCCTGCCTCGCCACTGGTAACGTTCTGCTTGACCCCTCCCCAAATAAAGCGTCTTGTATTTTAAGAACAGCCCCTCGCAAGTTTTTAACTTCTCTCTCTTTATCACCATTTTGAAGTAATGCGATTTTTTTCGAGTCGTGTCTGCGTTTTTGAAAAATCCTCACATGGATATTAAAATGTACACATAAATTTTTTTTTTTTTGTTCCTTTTAAGGGATAGGTACTTTATATGAATGAACACGAGCAAAAAATTGGCAAAATGAAACTCCGGAACGCATTTATGCCGCCTTATCGCCAAGGAGTCGACTATTAGCATGTTCAGTCCGCGGACAGTGGCGTGGCGTGCTTTGCGATAAATCGATTGATCTGCCATTTAAACCCATGGAAAAGGATCGATAGACAGGGTGTTCGCAACGAGCACCTTTATAATCGATTCTTTATCATAGCCTCAAAGGGGAAAATATCGATTATTATCGATCATTCCCGCCTCGCCACTGTCCGCGGAATTATTACTTTAATAGGTCTGATAAGTAAGACGTATCAGGAAATGTTGACATTTACTGCTTAGTGGAAACGCGCTTAAATAAATGTGTTCGTCATGATTGTGTCTGTTTTATACCTTTTCATCTTTGAGATTGAACCCTCTCTACGCTCTTCGGTATTTTTGTTTCTCAATCCATCCTCCTCCCTCCTTTTTTTAGTCTCCTTCTGTTTTAAGATATGGAACTCAGGGTGTGCAAGTATCCAACAGATGAGATTGTATCCATATCGATTGGTTCATCATGTAAACATAGCCTCAAAAGTCAAATCGAGTAATTTTAGGGAACGATTTTTTTATGATAGATTTTTTATTCTTATGAGTACAAAGCGGCAATGAAAAGTGAAAATGTTCGGAATTTCCTCACTCTCAGCTTTTCCAACTAAAATCCTAAATTTTTTGTCTAAGGCCATGTTCTGTTGTTTTGAACCAAACGATACATCGAACCACTATCGAATACGATCTATCCTTCGTGAGGAATCCTATCGAGTTCCCTGTCGGCTCGTTCGATCCATAGAGAGAGAAAAAAAGGAGGTGTTTGCATCTTCAGGATTGTGTAACCTGTGACGTAGGTCGGTACAACCTGGTCAGCAAAATCCGGAATTCGAAGTATGAAAAATGGACCATAACGTCCGATTTTTTTGCTTAAACCAACTCATGATATAATTTCGAACACATTATGTAGAATGCATTTTTTTCCCGTAAACTACACCATTTCCAAGAAAATCGATGATAGAAGTCGCGGTACGGACCTAAGTCATCAAAAAAATTCCAAGATGCCCCATATGCAAACACCTCCTTTTTTTTTCTCTATGCGTTCGATTAGTCGACGTTGATCAACGACTCAGGTGCCTGCAGTGCCATACCTTTGAAAAGGAAATATCGGTTCCTTACTGCAAAATGTGGTCCAGTTAGCCTACTAAGTACGTGTCGTGAACTCGGTGGCTTCTCAATTTATTGCTGAAATTCCTCGATTTTGACTACTTTCGTGTGCGCCCTCTTCTCACGGCCCACAATGGATCGAGTCAATAGGAGAGTTCGGACAAAATTTGGAAACTTTAATAGCTTATAACTCCGTTTAAACAAAAATTTGAAGTTTTAAACGTGGCTCCATTCGTTTCCTCCCCAAAATTCTCTTCCAGAAGCACACCTTGAAATTTAAAATGTGACGTAATAAACATTATAAGTGGTTTTAGTCAAACATTTTATGTCTGACCTCTCTAATTGACTCAATCCACTGCGCGGCCATGCAATTTGAGCTCCTCGGGGGAAAATCGAAGTAGGCCTTAATCTCAGCGCGCCTTCAACGCGGCCGATATGCAATTTCTAGCGATTATGAAAGGAGCGATTTCAAAAAACCCGATCCGATCCACGTCAACTCATCGCGCCCTCATTTCTATAACTATGCAATACGAGCTACTTCAGACGTTGACAATCGTAATTGAATTAAGTATGCGCTTTGCACTTGGCGCGACGTTTAGCGAGGGGTTTTCCGTTGATTGATTAGGAACTACATATTTATGTCATGTCGATGGTTTTACTGCAGCCTGATTGTTGAAACGTTAAAATAGCCCTATCTACGCCGCATAACATATCGATTTTCGATTCTTGTCGTGCCATCGCCATCATAAATGTCTACGATCAGGCTGCAGGCCGAAGTATACGTATTTCCACGTTTCAAAGAATTTCTCTAAAGATTGGTCATAATTTGGACCTCTTCACAGTTGGACTGCATCTTGCAATTTGGAACTATAAATTCTGGCTCATCTGAAAAAACACTTATATGCGTAGGGACACTAATGGCACATACGTTGTTTTTAAACCGAGCCGGAATTTATATTTCCTAAATTGCAAAATGCAGTCCAGTGTGTCCCCACCTCTGAAAGTTAAACTTTGTACGATCTCAGATTATTGCCAGATTCATAGTCATGCATGCTGTGTAATGGAGAATTTGCACGTAAATTTGTTTATTGCTTCATCTGAGAGTGCTTAAAGAGTTGATTTCGCAGTATTTCTCATACTTTTTTCTGATATTGGAAATTGTATACGACTAGATCTGGGAGTGAAAAAATGCACCGCTTAGTGACGTCATCTGGTCCACTCAAACACGAAATTTATGAAATTCAGACGCCTGCAAATTCTCCATTTGGCGCAATTTTCTCTGATATGAATGGCTTAAATTGAGTCTTTTTACATACATATCAAGCCGCTACCTCAGCGCACTATAGCGCTCTGCGACTCCAAATCGCCATCGGAATCGATCCTCCCACAAATCATCGGGTAGATTACACCGTCTGATCTCCCCCTCCACTCCCTCCCGCCAACCTTTTACTGGACATCCACGCCGCCTTCTTCCGGGAGGAACCCAATCAAATACCTTTCTGGGCAACCTACTATCTGCCATTCTCCGCACATGTCCATACCAAACCAGCTGCCTGGTTTTGATATCGTGTCGTGATAATTGAGTCTTTTTAATTTTGAATATTTTTCTGTTTCAGAATGTGTTGAAAATGTCTGCAAAAGTAGAAACTGTGTCTCAGCGAGAAACTCGGGCTGGGCGCCGAGCGGAGAAAAAGGAAGAGAAGCATGTGCCCAAAGGCGGAGGAAGAAAGCCCAAGTTTGAAAATGAGAATCGACACCATAAGCATGGCCGGAAGCGAAGCCAAAGTTTCTCTGCCGGCGGAAATAATAAATTCTTGCCCCCATACAAGAAGCGTAAAAAAGACTGCCTCCATACCCAAAATTTCGCTCCACCCACCAAGTTCTTACTGGGCGGAAATATATGTGATCCTCTCAACCTGAATAGTCTCCAGGATGAAGAAATCAACAAGTGAGTATGCGCGTGTTTCTGTAACTAAATTAAGAAGTTAAAATTCCCCCTATGAAAATCCTATCCAATGCTTCTCTTCGAAAATGAACAGCATAACAGGGTTGCCACGACCAGGGAAACCGGGAAATTTTAGGGAATTTTAAAAAGTCAGGGAAAACCTGGAAATGTGAAGGAAAATGACGAAAGTGTTTGGGAAAAATTATTAGGTCGACTTTATTTGCTTTCCAAAATGGGTTTGAAGATTCGAACAACAGATTTTGCCCAGAAAGAACATCTTTTTAATTGTCTGGCATATCCATAATTGTCAGGGAATTTTACCAAAATGTGTTAGGGAATTTCACTTTCTAAATTCTGCGGCAACCCTGACATAAGTACTATGGTCAAAAGTTGAAGCTCTCCATCAGCATACAAACGAGCTTTTTTTCTTCCTCTTGTTGATCGAAGTATGCATGCTTCTACCCCCCATTTAAGGACATTCATTTTCAGAATTATTTAATTTGTTTGTTGATAAATCTGTAAAAAAAAAAAAATAAATAAAAAAAAAAAATAAATAATAATAACAATAATAATAATAATCCAGCAAAACCAAGTACGGATCTGAGTACCTTAGTATCCACAAGAAATTTTGAGAAATTTTAGATTGATTTGTCTTAAAATTAAATTTTATGATGGAAATGTGTAGGAGTAACAACAAAACATCAATCAAAAGCTGCAAGTAGTACAAGCCGAGAATTCCTTGCAAAGTCAGTGAAATTCTGGAAAAGCCATTGAATTTTACTAAATTGTCATCATTCGGAAAATTTTGCTATCAAACCCTGAATTTTTACTGCCTGTAAATTTTTTTAAATAGCTCTGATAGTTACCAATAGTAAAATGGCTCGCTCTTTATGGACACAGATTTAACTTTGTACCCGGTAATATGTATGTCTAGTGGAAAGCACTTTCATGCTCAACCCTCTTGAAATTTCAAGGTAAAGTCAGAGAATGATTTACCTAATATCTGAATTTGTCAAGGAAAAGTGAAAAAGTTTAAAACTCAAGGAAACTTGTCATTCTGTAAAATTTGTCAAGAAAATGACAGTGATTCACGAAAGGGAGAGAAATACAGTGTGCCAATTTATTTATTAATCAGTGTTATTAATCTGAAATTGATGGACAACATTCTTGCTGTGGTTGGCAGCACTCTCATCTCTTAAATTAGTGATAGTAATAGTGCTACCTTTTTCAAGCTCATTTTTTCAACATTATTTACCCCTCAAAATTTATGAGAGCTGAGGGTTAAAAATGCCAAACAAGGAATTTTGAATAATTCTAGTTAATCAATAACTCTAATTCGATCTAATTTCTTCTTCTTTTCTTTTACAGGGCAATGAATGCCGTGACACCAAAGTCATCACCGTTACCAACCCCAAAACGTCGGCGACCTGAAGTGGAAGCTGTAGTTCCACAATTTAGTGATGATGCATATTTAATGTCCGGTGAAGATGAGGCTGAGTATGAAGCCCAATTAAATATATCACCAATCAAGCGGATATCCAGGAGAAAAAAGAAAAGGCCTCACAAAAAGTCAAATTCCTCTAGCAGCCTGACTGCTCTTAGGACTAACATTTCAAATGGTGAAAATTTGAGTAAATCTGATTCAGAGACCATCAGTCCAACTGCAACCTCTGGTCCTTTTATCGTTCCAAGACCGGTCGCTCAGCGAGCAGAGACAGTTCCAAAGGATACTCCCGACAAAGAAATCGAGGCAGCCAGGTAAATACGAACTCTACTACCAAGCTTTCATTCATTATACTTTTCACACGCCCCCCTCAGAGGTGTAAAATAAGTTTTCTCCAAGGAACTCTGTCACCACTATCGTAAATTCTCATTGAACCTGTTAAAAATTAGTGTTTCGAGATTGTTCAATAATTTTCTGAATCTTAGAAACTGGTCATGGGAAAAACTCCCCCGGGTAGGCACTGAGAAAAACTCAAATTATGAGGTTGGCACTTTTGCTTGAAGACGATGAGTCTGGTCCTTAAAACCCATGATCACCTAATATTGATAATTTCCAGAGTATTTAGAACACTTGAAGTAAAGACTTATGTATCTCATCAACATATCAATGGCCAAAGTGTGAAGCCATGTATCTCTATTTAAGAGATTGCAGACTCCCTGTTTTACTTGACGTTTTCATTAGAAAACTAGTCAATGGAATTTCTTGAAAACCCTCTTGATTTTTCTTCTCTGTTAGCAGAATATTCCGTATGAATTTCAAGCTCTAAAGTTGGCATGTCTCTCTTCGAAAAAATAAATTGGAAAGGAACTTTCAAGCATTGCAATGGAGATACGTGGTTTTGCACTTTGCCCATTGATCTTGAAGTTTTAGAAAGCAGAATCAGCTATCTGCATCCTCTAACTTTAACACCCATAATGCTATCTATTGGCAAAAAACCTCATGAGCTGTAAAGTTTTTTTATATGTTCTTGAGGAATCTAGTCACTGTTTCCTGTCAACTAGAGGATATTACTTACCTAAATCCAGTTTTTTTCTCTTCCCTGAAAATTTGGTGCACACATGTTGAGACTCTATTGGTGACCAGTACGTACTGAATCAAGTTTTACCAAAATCTTCACCAATGGAAGCAAATTGATATTAAAAGAGTAACATTTATTCCAATTTGTAACAATGTAGATTTTTCTGGCTGATTTTATTCGTATCAGGAAATTAATCTATGCAAGGGTTTGCGGCGTCATAACCACCCTGCTAAGAATCATGTTCTGTTTGAGCCTCCTTGTCCTTGTTTGCTTTTGTCTCATTCTTTTATCAAATTCTTACAACTTTTTATGTCATTGCAGATTAGTTACTGATGACCAAGGTGCTAAAGCTGAAAAGCAGGACTCCACTGAATGTTGTGACGTTGCCTCGCAAAATGTAAAGAACAAAGAAGAAGTAGCAACGGTTAAAGAAGAAATCACCCCAACTCCTCGAGAAGAGTTCATAGTGCCTCATCATCCTCCTCCGAGAGATCATCTGCGATTGTCGATGGAATCACAACCCCATGATAGTGCTGAAAAAGGGTGGAAGTCTGATATTAAAGATAAAATAGTTAGTCCTGTTGTACCACAGCCGAGGATCACTGCCTCAAAATTTCGACATATGCCTGGAATTAGGGTAGAGAAAGTAGCCAAAGGACAAAAAACACCAAAATTTAATGATAAGAATGCCAGGTTTCACTATGGAAATTACAATCGGTATGTATTTTTGAACAATCATCCATCGTTTCTTGTATTTTTTCTTTTTATCTCAGTTTAGCATAGGTTGACCTCAACATTGGTGTGCATAACAGCATATGACTAGTTTTTGAGACCAAAGAAGAATCGGTCCCAGAAACTGAAAAAATTTACAAAATAAATAAACAAACTCAAATAAGAATATTAATACACGCATAATATTTAGTAAATCTGACGTATGGAAGTCCATTCTTCTGTGACCCTGGAGTTGCAGAAAAATGAATCTATATATCAGCCTCCTATGGTGTAGTGGTTGTAGGGTTAAAATTTTTAAAACGATCATTTGTAGGTTTTCTTGTATAGGCTTAAATTTAAGCACTGCAAGGTATGGTGTCATTCTGAAGTAATCAAAAACTTAAGTTATTCCAGTCACCAAGTTAGTTAGTTTTCAACATTCAGTGCAATTCAAGAACGATGTCAGTATATAAAAAGTTTGATTTTATAAGCTCATTGTGCTCAAGAGGTCATAAGGAACACCATTTAAAAAAATATCAGAACTCTGCTGGTGCCGAATTTCTTGGTATTGTGACCTTGTAATCTTTCGACTAATCTGTGGAGTAGATTTAAGGGTAGACAAAATTTTTTAAAAAGAAAAATCAATTATTTAAGGGCTATGTTCTTAGACTAAACTGAAAACTAAGCTTGGTCAATTGCAGCCTTGGTGTCAGATCAGGAAAAACTGGGAATAACGGGGATTCATCAGGGAATGAAAAATTTAAGGAAAATCAGGGTAAAATCAGGGAATCTCTTCCACCGGTTAGAGACAATTTTAAGGGTTATGTCACTGCACCTGAGCAGCCATTATTAACCTCTTGAATCTTTAAATCGTCAGAATAATAGAGAAGCTTTTATTGACCAGATAATATGAACATCTGAAACGCTTTTGGAACGAAAAATTCTCATGTGCGCCAAAGAATCAGCTGAAAGATGAAAAAAATATATACTTATATGTGAAACTCTTGAGAATTACATAGTTTTTCTCAAAAAAATTCTGGGAAAGTGGGAAAGAACTTCAGTTTATCATTAGGGAATGAACCTCTGAGATTCCGGGTAAAATCAGGGAATGAGTATGGTCAAGAGTTCTAGACGCCATGATTTGACTTTTTTTTAATTTTTCACATGTTCATCAGTCAAAGATCATCAGCTACTTGTCTAGCTAAAGTTTTTCGTTTGAATGGATCATTTAGCCAAAAAAGGTCATCTTTCAGGAAAAAATCTGTTCTGCAAATTTCTCCACATCACTGAACAGATTTAACCAGAAACAATGGAACTGTGTCAGGCTTTGCATAATCTGTCATGATTTGTTTGTTCAGTATTATGATTTGAAATTTTATGCATACATCGATGGTGAAACTACCAAACCACGTATCTCGGTTTGCGACGTCGCAGACTTCCTGTCATACTTTATTTTTTAAATGAAAAACTACGTAACGTCCAGTCTTGAGAATTTCTGTGATTTTTCCTCTTCGTGCGAAGAAAATTCTGTGAAAATTTCAAGGAATGATATTGATTTGGTCTATTTCAAAAAAATAAAATGTGAGCGTAGATGTTTAAACACCGCAAACGAGATACGTGGTTTGGTAATTTCACCGTCGACATACTCCAATGTAGGGGAAATTCTCAAAAAGTTTCTAGTTGTTTTTTGTCCTCTTTTAAAGAGGTAAAACATGAGATAAATTCAAACTTGAAATTTGGTTAGGATGATTTCAGTCAAACAGACCGAAGTGTCTAAGTATAAAAAATCTCACTGTTTCATTCGATTTAATTCATGTTACCTTTGTGTAAGATTGCTTGATTTGTTGTAACATTCTGTTTTTCATTTTTCCAGGTATTACGGGTATCGCAACCCTCATTTTGAAACAGATCCACGAATCAAGTGTTTCACTAAGCGAAGAGAACTATTTTTTGATAAAGATGTTCTAGACATCGGCTGTAACATTGGACACATAACTTTAACTATTGCTCGTGATTTTGGTGCACGCAGTATTGTAGGCTTAGACATAGATAAAAAATTGATTCAAGTTGCAAGGACTAATATCAAACATTACATCAATTGTGTTAATTCGCCATCTAATCCTCATTTCACTCCGGAGAGAAACGAAAGCATACCATCTGAATCTACTTCTGCTGCTCCTGTTTCTTCAACCGCTTCTTCTACCACTCCTTTGGAAGCAGGACCATCTACATCTACAGCCCCACCAGAGCTGTCAACCAAACAAGAAACAACCAACTTCTTTCCAATCTCAATGCCTATCATTTACGGTCCTCTGCAAGTGCCAGGGACGTCATCGAGTCATCGAAAAGGATTCCCTCATAATGTCTCTTTTGTTCAGGTAATTTTTTCCTTTTGACATAGTTGATTGAATTGAGGAGTTTGAAAACATGCTACCTTATGTTTCATGTAAAAAGCCACCTTGAATGATCTTTTTAAACATCCTTTTTTTGTAGCTCATAGTTGTTTCAGAATAGTATCATTCTCTTACTAAACCAGATACATCTGATGACTACCGGTTCTTGCTTTTGGGTTGTGTTATTTTAAGAAAAGGTGTCAAACAATGAGATTGTAAAATCCAGTGTATCTGTGAAAAAGTGGTCTGCATGAATGATTATTTATCTATATTCTGTTATCTGCATATTCTGTAGCCTCCATGGAAACATTTTCTAATCTGCTGTCCATTTTAAAAATACATCAGCCAAGTGATTTTCACTATTCTTAGTAGAGAATTCGGCATTCTGGTATTATTTGTATCAGTCTCTAGCATGCTTCCCCTATTATAGTAGGAAATTTATTATGTGTAGGTAAGTTGTATGAGAAAAACCAAGATTGCTGAGAATGCCCAATCATACACTCAGGGTAGCGCGAGGAATTGAGGGAGGGCCCTAAAATGCAGAAAGGGAGATAAGTTTTACTCAAGGTTAAAAGTTTTGGGGTGTTTTATCTTGTTGTGGCTAGAGATCTGTGTTACTAGATTTAGCTATGGACAGATTAAGAGAGAAGGTGGAACTCCTTTCTTGTAGATCCTACAAGTGTCCTCCATCAAATAACTTTCACCGTAAAATGTCCTATGAGTAGGTTCCTGGTAGAAAGACAGTCCCCAGTATTCATTGCAGGTAAAATTCATAGGTGTTGGGCATGGTCTAGATGCTCAAACATTGGTTGAACTTTTGCAAAACTCATTTGACAGAACAGATTTAATTAAGCCAAAACTGATTCAAGAAAACGGATTAGTCTGCTGAACCATGGCAAAAAGTTAGGCTGTCCGGATTAGACCTCATAAATCCTAATGGAAAGATGGCATCTATAGTTCTCAGGTGACGGACAAAGGCCTGTACCAAATTTTTATCAGTTAACTTATAAAAACAGGGTTGCCACCGTCCGGAATTACCTGAATGTCAAGGAATTTTGAAAAGTCAGGGAAAATCGGGAAATGACGAAAATGATAAGGAAAATTTGTTAAATCACCTTCATTTGCTTTCTAGAATGAGTTCAACCCATTGACTTGTGATTTAATTTGACCCTGCCGGGCCAGGAATTACGATTTAATTTTGGCGGAAATCAGTAACTTTGAACACTTCAAAATAATCCAGAAATTCTTTCTCTAAGGGTGAAAATTGACACAATAAGCATTCTTAATACAACGTTTAAGAAAAATGGTGAAAACTTTGAACAAAATGATTTTTTTATTGTGGCTTATAGCTGTCAAAGTCGCAAAAATCGCAAAATCAGCGAAAATCAGAAAATTTGGAGGTTATTACATGTGCAAACGCTCAGTAATATGAAAGTACCGCAACAAAAAAAGAAATTACCGTACACAATGAGTCATAGGATGGCCACACTCCTCATATAAACATTGATGAGAACGCAATCTACGGGAGAATAGCCGGAAAAACGCAAGCAGTCAATGGACAGCTCTGAGCCGTCTCTTCAGATCTGGCCCAGCGCAGCGCGGACGGCTGGGAGCCGTCAGTTTGAAGTCAATGGGTTAAGGTTTTGAACAACAAATTTTGCCTGAAAACTATGTTCAATTATGTCTTCTTAACCATCTGTCACATCTTCAATTGTCAGGGAATTTCACCAAAATTTGTCATGGAATTTTATTTTCCAAATTCTGTGGCAGCCCTGTAAAAAGGATATCTCTATTATACTAATGTTTTCCTTATTTTCAGGGTAATTATGTGCTGGATTCTGATGTGCTGGTCTCGATGGAGCAGCCTCAATTTGATGTTATTCTATGCCTTAGTATAACCAAGTGGATACAACTGAACTGGGGCGACGCAGGCTTGAAACGGGCCTTTAAACGAATGTTTGCGCAACTGAGGCCTGGTGGTGTATTAATACTCGAACCTCAGTCTTGGCCTTCATATAAGAAAAAACGAAATTTCACCGTAAGTTTCTTCATTCCTCTACTTTTTGATACTTGCTTTGCCTGGACCTGTCTTTTCCTTTCGAATAATGGGTCACTAAACCATGAACGAATTTTGACTTGCGAATATAGTTTTCTGAAGGAAAATGATGCGTAGAACACGATGCGCACATTAAAAACGCGAACAAGTAACTCAATAACCGAGAAATGCGCAGTTCAAATCGCTCAACTTATACGCAAATTTAAAACGCCCCGGTTTCGCGCCACGCCGAATGATGTCATCCGGCACCAATCAGAAGTGGGCACGGGTTTCCTCAACTTCCGTCAAATATGTATCTACTCTTCGTATATGAAAACAATACTAAAGTCGAAATTATATCTTTTGAATTCAAGACTTGAATCTCATTCATATGTTTGCTGTAATAAACGAGCAACAATTCCACATGGAAACACGTTTTATTTTAACAAACATCAGAGGAAAATGAGAGAAGATTGCAATATGACTACCGCAGTGTGTCAACACCGTCAGTTTCCCGCCATTCGGGTGCGTTTGAAATGTCTTGCAGTTTTTAGATTTTTCAAAAACGGGTTTCTCCGCAATTTCGGCTCCATAAAATGCGGAAAAATCACCACGTTATCTATTCACATTGTACTTTCAGAATATTCAATAAAATAAACAAGGTTTAGTGACCCATTCAAAGGAATTACTAATTGATATTGTACTAAACTCAATTCCATCTATTTGTTGACTAATATCTATTTTTGTATTTTGCTTGCGAGAGGTTTGAACTGATGATTTTAATGTTAACTTAAAGAGTTAATCACTCACTAATTAACTAATGAGTCTGTATCATACCAGATTCATAGAAAAATTATCAGACTTTTTTTTCTCTTTCTTTTTATAAAACCACCGATGAGGACTTTAAATAAGTCTGGAACCTATTTCTTATCACACAATTTGTGTAGTCAGTATGACAATTTTTCAAATATCCTGTATTTGCAGGCTTTCTTTTCTTATCCTTGGTATATAGGTTTGATCACTGAGATATATAAGAAAACTCAACCTCAATACTCCAAAAATCTTGCAAACTTTTTCTGGTCTCTCATACGAATTATTTCAGTTGTATTTTTCCTCATTTTTGTGTAAAATTTTTGTCTCAATTTTCTTACCACCTCTCTTTTTTGTTTTTTTTTCCAGGAAACTATGTGGAAAAACTATAAAGAAGTAAAATTCTTTCCTCACCAGTATTCTACTTACCTTCTTTCAGTAGTAGGCTTCAGTAAATGTGAAGTTATGGCAACTCCTCTACATCAATCAAAAGGCTTTCAAAGGCCCATCAAAGTTTATACCAAAGCTATCACCGCTCCCCTTCTTCCGCCTGTAACTTCAAGCACAGGGAGTGAGAACAGTTCAATGCAAGTGGGAGAGAAGCCAGGAACTACAGAAAATACAGACAAAACGGCAAATGCCTCCTGAAATCCCCCAAGATTCAAGTCAGTCCGTTTTTAATCTTTGCATGCCATGCATCACTGCTCTTAAAAATGGACCATAAGAAATTGAGGATTAGATTGAATCTTAATCTTTTCAATTTCTTCGTGTTTTGTACATAAGTTCTCTTGTGATTACTTTGTTTTCTTTCTTGTATTTGTAGCTTTTCTCCTTTCGTTCTTTGCACATATGTTTTCTTCCATTCAGCTGTGAACCTATTTTTATTATTTAATGAAAAGACTTTGGAGCCAAGTGATTTGCCCGGGCTTTTAAATTCCTATATGCTTTGCATAATTTTTTACTGTGGGTAAGAAAATGGACTGTGTCAGTTCTAGAGGGCAATTTTTTCAACAAAGCAATTTTTATCAAGTTGAAAAGTAGGTGTTTGGGATGATGTTTACCAGTATCTTTAAGTTGCAACAAGCAGTTTCATTTATTTTTTTCATCTTAGATAGTACTTGAATGAATTTTATCTCCCCCTGTTTGAGCTCGAGGAAAAAATTGTTCCTCAATGTAATGTGTTCGGTCATTCTGCATACCCTCGAGTTCTTTTGAAATTCCCTCAGCAATAAATGAGAGTGCTGAGTATGTCTTTGGTAATGAACCCAATTGCACAAACTTGAACTGAGAAAGGGAAGGATGCTCAGTCTAGCATGAAGTTTTGCTGTTAATCCAAATAATTTTGACTGCAAATGGACTTGTTCCAAAAATGCATAACTCCATAGCACTCCCTATTTTCAACTTTCCACTGATTTTACAGAGAATAAAAAAGTTCTCACTATTGATTATTCCCATCAGCTGTCCCTTCATCTTCCTTTCAATTTGTCTAAAAATATCAAGAGGATAAAAACTGGAGGGAGCACAGTTATAATGAGGAAGTAAAGAATGTGTAATCGTCGTAAAAACAATGCGTCAAAACTTACATCTGTGTTTAACGATTCTAATGTTCTGAAATTTACTTTAATACTTTATAACGCCACTTTGGTTAGGTTGTCAAGTTAGATAATCACCAAGTTTTCCTTCTTGAAGAGGTATCAGTAACCTAATTTGGACTATCTATTTTCTAAGGTGCCTTGCCCTAGGAAGGACCACATTTTAAGATTCAATAAGAGCTGACAATCAGTGGTGAATCATGTGAGTTCCTTACAGTCATAGCATACGTTTTATTTGAAAATTACTCTGTCTTTATACAAAATTATTCATGGTTTCAAGGCTCTCAGACACATCAATTGCCCCTTAACAGGTGTTTCAACTGTGATGCGTTTTGTTATTGTTTAGTAGTTACAGTTAAAGTAGTCATTAAAACGGAAACTTTTTGTCCGCAAGTGAGCGGATACAGAGGGTTTTATCTGTATCTTGAAACAAATAGACACTGTGATTTATTTTGATAAAATTTAATAGATAAGTAGTCAGAAATATATTAACTTCAATTGCTCTATGACCTACTCGACCAAACAAATGATTATAATAATGTATGAAAGAATTTCGAAGATGGTTGCTTTTTCTGAGGTTTGTTTTGACGGTGAGTCAATTATTATGTCAAGCAGTAGGCAAATCCTCAAAATGAGCCCCTGTTACAGATATGCCAAACGCTATCCTTGAGGCTCAGTTAATTGCTTGGCTCAACATTTTTCTCTCCTTCGAATATGCTTTCACAACACATTTCATAATTTTGGTCCCACGCACTTATGCTTCAATTTATAAGAATAAATAATTTTCTCAATAAACAACTCATTACTTTTGATTCAATCGCAATACTTACTTTATGACTGTTTATTAATTCAATTTTTGTAAATTTACTTCGTAAGTTTTAACTGTTAAATCATATTTAAGTAAATTTAATGTCTCTAAGTTCCAGCAGTATGGAATATTAAGGTGAGGATTAAAAATGCTCAATGTTGGACAGAACTATCAGATAATTTCTTTTCTAAAAGAGGTGTTTCCAGATTTCAACTCCATTCTTTCGAATTAGAAATCATTTGATTATTTGCAAATTATGATATACTAAAATTCTATCTTTCAAATAGAATCTCAATGAATTTCAAGTATTTAAAAATGTCCTCAGTCTGAAAAGTTTTCAGCGCAATAAGTTCTATTTATGGAGATAATTTCATTGTAAAGGCAATCTAACTTCATCAGTTAATTTATGACCAGCAATCATTTGATTTTGTACAACATTTCTGTCCGATTAAGTCTTATTCTATTGAAAACTCAGGGTGATTTCATAAAAAAACTAGGTCCTGAAACCCAGGGGGGTCAGTCTTTGAAACTTAATATTTGAAGAGAATGTCTTTCACCTTGAGACTAAAAAAATTCAAGTTTTACAGTTTGATATCATTGTTTCAAAGAACATTTTTTAATGCTGCACCAAGATTTTGAACAAAATCTCACTCAAGGTGTCTTCGTGTGAAAATACTGTAATTAACGAGTGATTTAGTCTATAAAATCATGAACCGAGAATCTGATGCAATTTAGTTTTGCATGCCTCATCAGTGCTCTTTCCTTGTCCTGAAATTTTCAAGTGATCTTGCAGTCTTTATAATACTTGGTATTGTTTTCGTAAGGATGTAAGGATAAACTTAGTTTTTATTATCCGACAAGTTAGAGCTGTGCTTTATCATCAAACTGTATTACGCAAGAATTATTAGATTGAAATACTCTATTTCATTTGTTTTAATCATAAAATGTAAGTGAATGAAGCAATTATGTAGACATACTCTTCAAAGCAACTACCCACAACTTTTTTTTTTCACCGTTTTCTTTTGTTGATACATATATCACTGTATGCCATGGATTCATTTGTCAATGATCCTCATTCTTCTTGATTTTCAATGAATTTGCAAATTGTCGCTCATTTGAGTAGTTAACGATTTTACTTATTGTAATCAGATGGACTGGAGCAAAACAGTCACATCTGCATTGCGGTGTTTCAAAATCTTATATCAATTTTAAATTCTTGAAAGTAAACCAACCAACATCCACACCAGAAAATCTTTGCAATTCTTCTTGCCTCTAAGAAGATTCTTTCCATGATTAAGTTTCATAGTTTCCTTCCATAAAATTGAAATAGGAGATAAGATCTATAGTGCATTGCAGATGTGACTGTTTTACTCACATCTGTCCAACTGGATTATCAAATAAGTACTGTATTCTTAAAATTTTGTTTTCCAAGGATATCTGAAGTTAGTTTTCCTGAAAACGCTCAAAAGCTACTTATAGGCCATTTATTTTTTTTTTATTCCATCACTATTTAGTCCTTTGCAATTCTAAATGATCTTAACTGGGTACCTTCCAAATGAAGTGAACATCTCTTTCAATCAGAGCCAAACAAGGAAAAGAGTGTAATCTGATCCTCTGTCAATCTTAGCTTTATGACGAATATATCGACGGTGGAACCACCAGACGATGTATCTCGTTTGCGGTGATTAAAAATCTCCGCTCCCATTTTACATTCGTAAAAGAGACCAAATCAATATCATCCCTTGAAGTTTTTACAGATTTCTCCTCACACAAAGAGGAAAAATCACAGAACTTTCTAAGAATTGACACTGAGTAGTTTTCCACCGAAAAACTAAAGTATGATAGGAAGTCTGGGGCGTCGCAAACGAAGATACATAGTCTGGTAGTTTCATCGTTGATGTGTTCCTTCTACCAGAGCGTTTGTTATTAAAAATGCCAAGAGAGAGAGCGGATTGAATACTTCAGTTTTTTGCATGGTTTTCAAGTATGTGAAAGTGGCACCTATGTCAACTGAAATATGATTGATTTGCTCGCGGTTCTTCTATTCTCAGTTCTCAGGAAATTCAAGTTTTTCATAGGTTAGTTAATCTGGAAAGGAAAATTGTCCTGCGGACATAAGTTTCCGCACATTCGTTTATAATAGTAGAGTGTGTGTTGATCAATCATTGCAGTCCATGAGTCAGATTTTAAGCTTTTTAAAATTGAGAAATTTCATTGATTCACTTCATGATGCTGGTAGCGAATCATTTTTTTTCTCTTTGTCTCTCACCCCTTAATGGTTACTTCTGTTGAGATGAAATTTTCCTTAGCTTAAATGTTAATTCTCTAACAATTGTTTGCAATGCAATAGCTCTGAAATTTGAATATCAAGTCTCACAGATTGGCGAGATGAATTCTCTCAAAAATCGAAAGAGACCATCATTTATATTGCTCTCAATTTCCTCATATGATTGGTCAAAATATTCTTCTAACTCATTCATTAATTTGATTCTTGTAGCAGGGGGAAATAATCATATCGTTTTAGTTAAGTATAGCCAATGACAATTTCTGACTCCTCTTTGCTTTTCCTGAAATAATTTTATTAGAAGAGCTTTTCTCACACCTCCCTCTTGTATGTTAACACTCAGTTTCATTTTCTGTTTTGTGCACATCTAAGTAAATCTCTCATTGAATCTATTATAGCTCAAAGTTAGTTTTTCGGAATCATTTGCTTTGTTATAAAAATCGCCTAAATTATTTTCTCTTTTATAAGCGTGTAATTATTAACACTTATACTTTGATACGTCAAAATGACCATTAAAATGGTCCCCAAATATTTCAAGCTGTATTATTTCCTTGTTCTTTTTGTCTAATTTATTAGTTGCTGGATTATTTAAATAGAAGAATAATTTTACTTTACATCCTGAATTTCTTCTTAACCTCCCACCCGTCATGGTAGCACATCTTTCGAAGAGGTCCCTCTCCTCTTTGGTTGACTATTGAATGAAATTCCATTTTATTTCTTTATTCAAAGTTAAAGGTGGAAAAGCACCTTCTCAATAGTTCAAAGTTGTTGAGCGAAACGCCTCATAACTCGGACGGGTAAGAAATGAGGCAAATCGAAAGATGATTTTTTTTATTTCGATTTTTGATTGTGTGAAAGTATCCAAGCAAGAGGGGTCAAGTATATTTGTATTATAAAACTAGGAGCGATAACCTCTTTCTGGACTCCAGAATACTCAACCCGATATGCTCGAATTCTTGACCGGAAGGTTCAGTTTCTAAATACTTGTTTCTTGATTCGTTTTAAAACGCTGAAAAACTCTCCTTATTCTAAATGATCCCTCCAAACAACCTGAAAATTGGATTCTTTTATGGTTCTCAACCGTCATATAAAATTATTACAGTAATTCCTAATTTCTCGAAGACCAAAAAATTTAAGTCCATTCATGTGAAAGCTGAAAAACTTTCATCCTAGATTTTAGTGAAATGATTTTTCAGAATGACAAAACTCTCGTGAGTTTCAAAACCCGATGTTAAATTAAAGTAAGACCAATATGTTCGTGCATTCAGATTTTTCCCCTCTTTATTGGAACAGAAGTAAAGGGAGTTTTTCCCCCAAAAGCTCATTATTGCCTATCCAGAAAAAAATTGGCTGAAGGTATCTCATATAGCGGCGTTTTTTAAAAAATAGTAATGTAATAAGTAGCGATAAATTGTAATAAAATAGGTACTTAGCTATTTAATGACAATTTATCGCTGTCACTTATATTTTTGGAAACTCCACTGCATTGTAATGTTCGCCTCTCAACACAATTGGCAATAAGTAATTACATGCCTTCTCTTCCTTTCAGAATACATTTTTAGTTATGCTCATGCCTACTACAAGAAAGCAAGTCAAACAGTACTACATAAATTGCAAGCCTGTGAAGAAAAGAGCATTAAAAAATAATTCTGAAGAAGTGCATCAGGCATTTTGTGTTCAGAGGATGGTCCTTAAAAATAGACAAAATCAAACTCCTGGCAGAAGGAGGAAGCAAAACTGCCAAATAAATCTGTCAACAAGACCTTTAATTGCAAGACCAGACCATTAAAAGCATCTTGCACACTCTCCAGCGCATGTGCGTACCTTGTGCGCTACGAATTTCTTAGATTTTGCATCATCATCCAAAAATGCCTCGATTTAATGTTGGTAGGCAGGTAAATTATCTGATTTTCAAAAATGCCAAACAAAATGACACGTCGGTGATCTCAGTAAGAGACTACGTACCGTCGTTTGCAACGTTGCAGACTTCATTTAAGACTTTATTTTTCCCTTGGACTAATATTCAACATAATTACTCGAGAACTTCCTCGATTTTTCTTCTCTGTCAGCAGAATATTCTGTATGAATTTCAAGCCAAAATGCTTACTTGTTTCTCTTGGAAGAAATAAACTAGGAGCGGAGATTTTGAAATGCCGCAATGGAGATACGTGGTTTTCGCACTTCAGTTATCGATGCATCAAACATCGAAACATCAATAAAAACCATCAAGTGAACGTGCCAGAGGGGGAGGCGGAGGGGTGCATAAGACACGTTTATCTACTCGTGTTGGATACATTTTTTGCGAAAGCCCTGTCAACACTACTAGCAAAATTGCACGGAAATTCGCTCCTCCGTTTATAAGAAATGAACCAAAATATCATGAAAGAACAAACATAAATGTGGTATAATAATTTTAACCTCCGCCGCGCTGATCGGACTGTGTTTGGCGCAATGCGTGAAATAGTCCTGCAGTCTGCAGTCTTGTAGGCGCCATACGTTTCACGCCAAACGCTCCTGACCGCACTATGTTTGGCGCAATGGGTGAAGTATTCATGCAGTCTTGTAGGCGCTAATATGTGTTACATGCCGACCGCCGCGCCGAGGGCTTGTCCTTTTCATCTCAAGTCCTCGTAATCATTCCTCTCTGCGCTAACCTCCAGGCCAAATTGCGTGTTTAGTTCCTCTCTTAACTCAACTAATTAAAGATACTGTCTCTTGTATCACCGAAAAACGACAAAAGTAAAAATTACCATACTCTCAGGAAAGAGAGATTTTGTCCCCTTTTCTCATTGATAATTGCTTTTTCTGAATCCGATTTTTTTTTATACCTATATAGATTTAAAAAATTGCAAAATTTGCCGCCATGGACCACGGCCCATGTGGCCATTCCCTTAATCCGGCCCTGTTTTCAGAACCAAGTACATGGTAAATATACCTAAAAGGTTCTCAAAAATAACAACCAACCAACCAACTCACATACCAACTGAAGTAATGCCACTCCACTCCCCCTCCCAACGAGTCTTTTCAACCCTCCATCTCAAGTTTGTGGAAATATTCACATTTTGCGACATGCTGTCGTCTTATTGAAGGTCTAATGCAACTAGCAGTCCAAATGTTAGTCTAATTTAGATTTTGTAAGTTTCGTTGATGGATCGATTCCTGTGTTACAAGTATTTTTTCAATCATTGCGCCTTTGTCTTCCAAATTATAGCCAATAACAGCCTGTACCGAATATGATAACGAGAACACAGCATGGAAGTTGGAGCTAAAATATTCACGAAGCCCAGCACCCAAAGTAGGTATCTTTAAATGTAAGTTATTAAAGTTCTCCAGAAATACTTGACATGACTTTAATTACACTCACAGGTGAAAGACACATCGCGTCGTTAATATAGGTAGGTATAAGTGAACGAATGAACGAAATAACTTTTTCTCCCATCGTCATTGTCGTCCGGAAATGCTGTGAGCCGTGCGACGAGTAGCGAGCGCTACACCTGTCGTTTCCGGTACGAGAAACTCTTTATTTCCGGTATGAGAGAGATTGTGTTTCCGGTGACCGACAGCTTTGGCAACCGCAACCCATTGGGCAACCTTTTCCCGTCGGTTTCCGTTTCCCGCCGGTTTCTCGGAATCGTCTTTCTGCGCATGCGCAGGTTCCATCTTCTTGTTTACTAATTATCCATTTGCATCACGCGAGTTTCACGCACGCAGAGATATACGCAAATTCTATCTATTTTTAGATACTACAACTTTTTCAACCGTACTTCATACAAAATTCTGAGCTTTTGCGAGTGTACCACTGTCATCTCTAGTTCGCTGCGTCTGTTAATTTTTTGGTAAGTTAGAATCCTCTTTACAATATCCTTGAAGCCTAAGTATATGTTGTCATGTACTCGAAGCAGAGTAAATAATTCGATCCAGGTATGTAGACCGAATCTTAGTCAGCTTTTCGATCATTACTCGCCAGTATTTTCTAGCCGATTATCCTCTCAACTTGAAGAGATATACTCGGGAAGGCACATCTGTATGCTCCAGGATCTTAGAGTCTACTCTTGCAAACATCCGGCTTTCTGATCTCAAGTCAGCAGCCACTTGTTGTGCAGGTAGCTGATTTCACCGAAGAAGTGTCTTGCCTTTCAAATACTGTACTGTCATTTTAACAGAGTTTAGAAAATGTCAGCATTAGATGACAACCAGTCCCCTCATTGAGTTGGTATTTGATATTCCCTGCCTTAGTCTGGAATGGCCATCTAGCTGAGAATTAATGACTCAACTTCAAGTTATAGGGATCTGATCATTAAATTGCTGAATCAATGGTTTTATTGCAAAAGTCCAAGTTCTATGACAGTGTTCAGAATTGTTGATCTGATAAATATATGTTCGCTCAGCTTTCCGCTTCTGTATCATTGTCAAGTCAGCAGCCAGATTATTATTGAACCTATGTCGACCTGACAAAACGAGACATAGCCCTATCCTTAACCATGAGGTATATTGCATTATGATGTCCTGAAAGCTTCAGCCTCTCTCTGACTGCCTTTAACTTTCAACTGATGGCATGACAAAGTGCTCAGTTGCGTTCGTGTGGTATCAATTTCTAAGGGAAATGGGAAGTTTGTCCTTGGCGAATGAGCGGAGAAATCAGAATTGAGTTACCCAGGGGAAGAGAGCTGCCCAATAAGAATCAAAAATTGCAGAATTAGAATTGTGTTCCATTATTGACGGCCATGACGGAAAAAAACCAACGCGACTAAGCATTTTGTCAAAGCTTGTATTACATTTTTCCCAGGAGAGCTCTCCTGAATGCCTTTTTGGCTGCCTCTTACCCCTGTTTTTTAGATGTCTTTTCTTAGAAAACTGCCATCCAATTTTTTCTTGGGGGTCTGGGAGCAAAACTAATAATTTTTCTCCAGAGAAGGCCAAGTGTCCTCAATGTCCTCATGAAACCTCACATGGTGACAAGTTCTCAAAAAGTCAAAGAATTTTGTCTAGGAACCTTGAAATTTTACAGCTTTATGCCTTTTTTATATATGGTAAAGGATTGGTACTTATGTCACAAAAGTGTGAGGGGGCAGGGTAGGAGGGGGGGGGTGTGTGGAGAAATTTTAAATTCAGCACTGCATATTTATGAACGGCCTCTTAAGTGCAGTGGATTGTTTTATTTTCCCGAGCTCACTTTTCTGAAGAAACCATGGTACTTAAGGGACTGACATTTGATAATCTCTGTAGGCAGACTTCAGTATGCTTTCCAGCTCTTAATCCGGGATTTCCTCCAAATGCTTATAACCTGCGCCGATAAGCATTTGGAGGAAATCCAGGCTTTAAAGGGTTGGCACATGAATTAGGGAACTATATAGGTGGAAGACATCACTTTTGCTTGGATCATATTTGCTTTGTTTCATGACTGATTTTTGAATTTCTCTCGTCTTTTACTCCACCATCCTTTGAGTTCTCAATATTGTAAGTGCCTAGGTATAATCATCAATTAAAAATCATTAATTTTTAATTTCTGATTTTTCAGCAACTCACACTCTCTTGTGGGCAACATGTCTTCAAACGCAACAAAAAAACCTTTCAAGCCTCCACTTGTCAATAAACCCACCATCAAACAAGCTCAGCCCACTGGAAGTGCTGTGCCTCCAAGAACCACTAAGGGACCTAATAAAGTAATTGCTGAGCCGAAGAGTTCTGCTGTCCCTCAAGGAACCACTAAGGGACCTAATAAAGTAATTGCTAAGCCGAAGAGTCAAAACAAACCTAAGCCTCTATTGGTGTCTGATTTTATTGATTTGGAAACCCCCTCTGTCAAGACGGTAAATCTTTCTTCATCTGCTTTACTAATTAATACAAAAATTCATTTTTCGTAACATGTATATTTTTAAAATCCAATTTATCATATAAGCACTAAATGCTACAGAGATTTTCTGCCCCATCTTCTCATGCCAGGTAGATACTCTAGTAGCACATGATGTAAACCTTACCCTGAAGTATCCTAAAGTGCTTGTAAGAAATTAGGAATACAGACTATAAAGGAAATACCTTGCACAATTTTTTTGCAAAGAAAAGATAGAAGATTAAAAAAACTAGTTTCCTCTCCAGAATTTCCATTTACTTTTTTTATTCAAGATTTTTTTACTTTAAACTCTGGAAATCTGATCATTAACGACTGTTTCATGAATTTCTTGTCTCAAAAATTTTTATTCAAGTACAAACAAGCAGGCTCAAGTTTTTTTCACGAGGATATGTAAGAGCTGTGCATATAAGGTATCAAAGGACCCTGCACACCTCTTATGGGAAGCTGCACCATGACCGAATGCTAATTGATTTATGTCATTCGATTCTCCTCAAGATGCTGATCAAAAGTAATAATTGCGCCAACTTTCTACAGTGCACTGTTTTCGCTAAAAACCTAAGAGAAGGTTCAATTATTCGGCGACAATGAATAAAAACGAACAAAGCATTTGAGAACAGGCCCGATGTAAATAAGGAAAAAACGTAGCGCTCGTCCGTCTTCTTATCTGTACCTGCCGACTCTGGGGCTATCTCCCTCCCGCTCTCGTCCGGTTGACGTTCCGAATTTCCTGTTCTTATGGTCCTCAAGAATCTGATTTGGATGGTTGAGCAAAACGGCATGTGGAATCTGAAATAAGACTGCCGGTCGGTGCAGGAGTTCCCCTGATTTATTCACTCGAGTACTGAAATGAGAAATCTTTCTGGTTTTTTATCGCCAAATAATTAAATCTTCTCTCAGGTTTTTTACGAAAACGGTGCATCGTAGAAAGTTGGCACATTTTTAACTTTTGATCAGCATCTTGAAGAGAATCGAATGACATAAATCAATTAGCATTCGGTCATGGTGCAGCTTCCCATAAGAGGTGTGCGGGGTCCCCTCTCAGTGTGGCTCAAGCTTTAAAATATCCCATTGTTCCCTACTCTGAATCTAACAAGGTAGAAAACGGGTGGAAAAATTTTTTCACATAGATCAGACGCCCACATTCTGTACAGTCCTTCAGTTTTCTTCTAACTCTGCTGTTATAAAAGTAAGGTTGCTAAATGTCTTGTCTCCTGATTAGGATTTCACAAATTTCTTGAGCTTGTAAAATTCAAGCTTGCAGAAATGCAGATCTTAGTGAAGTCAAAAAGATTAATGTGAAGTTGTAACACTGGTAGAAACAGATGCTGAAAAAAGCAAACCTGGGAAAGCCAAGCCAGTAATCTTTTCAGTTGATAAAAATGTGACCAATCAAGTAATTTCAACAAATTCCGTCGTATAATATATCAAGTTGTGATAAAATTAGGGGAGCTGTAAGTAGTATCTTTTAAGCAATTGAAAATAAGAAAAACCTGAAAATTTTGTGTGGCATCCAGCAGTGCTGTGGCGTTTTTTGCGATATACTAATTGATCTGCAATTTAAACTTGTGGAAAAGGATCGATAAACAAGGTGTTTGCAACTAACACCTTAAAAATTGGTTCTTTACTGTAGCTTTATATGGAGGAATATTGATAATCAATCATTCCAGCCTTGCCACTGGTATCCAGCACCTGTAATAGAAAAATTATATTCAACCGCTAAGTCATAAACGAAGTATTACCGAACTGTGCGCATAGACCTTAGAATTCGTAAATCAAGGCGGGAAGACAGTTTTCTAAAATCTGTTTCCATTTCATATTCCTACATGATAAATTCTCTCCATCTGGATTGGTTTTAGCAAACCGGAATGAGGAAAACAACTTCAGAATGGTAACATTTGGGTCCAAACTTCGATGTCAAGCAACTAAAATTTTGTTTAAAAATTACGTGCGACGTTCAAATTAGACCCAACGTGTTTTTATATAATTTTTCTCTTTGTTCCAGACTCAATCATCGGCCTCATCGTCTTCATTGGCCGAATCTCAGCCAACAGAGACAGACTCATGTCCATCTAGTAGGAACAGCTCTTGCAGCACCACACCTACCAGGGAATCGGCTAATTCTGTCCCATGGGGTAGCCATGTGACTCCTCGAAGAAAAGAGGCTCTTCAGGATTTGAAGAAGAAGATTGCATCCATATCAGGCTCCCCTTTTGGATCAAAGAGCGCGCAAACTTTAAGCTTTTCAAATCCCACCAGCTCTCGCAGCACCACACCTACCAGGGAATCGGCGAATTCTGTGCCATGGGGTGTCAATGTAACCCCTCAAAGAAAAGGGACTCTTCAGGAGTTTAAGAAGCTTGCATCCATATCAGGCTCCGCCTCTGGATCAAACAGCGCGCAAAGTTTAAGTTGTGCTAATTCCACCCCTGAGGTTGTTGACCTCTCAGTCTCTGATGAGGCTTCTTTTGTCCCGGGATCCCAGAGCGTGTCATCAAACCCCATATGCAAAACTAACCCTGACTTGTCAGTTCTTAATCAAGGCAAAAATTCAAGGAGATCTACAGGGAAGAGCAATTCTGCGCCCGTAACCCATAATGAAGTAGATGAACCTGAATCTTTGCCTCCTGTACAACTTGGAAATTACAAAACTTCACTTTCAAGATGCAATAGCAGAAGCTTGGAGGCAAAAGCACCGATTGCTCAGTCACGTCCCAGGAATGCATTTCCGTTGTTAAATCGATCAAAATCAGATGCCTCCATACCAGATGATGTTTCACATTTCATTCTGAAGCCAGATACACTTCGTGTCAACATATTGCCCTCTGATCAGAAGTGTGCTTCTATGGCCCTTTTAAATGGTTCAGCCGACAAGGGGCACTCAGTTTTTTTAAAACCGGCTAAACCAACAGTTCAAAAAAATACAGGTCCAAAACAGAAAAATCCCTCTGTAAAATCAAAATCACCGGTGAAGGAAAACCAAAATCCTTTGCGATCTCAAATATCCAAGCAGAAACAAGAAAATCTTGAGAAAAGGGACAATATTCTTCTGAATGAAGTACTTCTCTCAGTTGCACAGTCTTTCTCAAAATCAAACCTTGCAATGGAACCTGAATATGTCAGTGAAGCTGAAGAATCAAAGACTCCTGCAGAGAAAAAGGTCCAAAAAAAGCAAGCGACAGCAAAAAAATCCTCTGAAAAATCAAACGGTGTACCAAAACAACTGAAATCAGTCACTAATTCTCAAGAATCAAAGAGCTCTGGAAAGAATAGGGTGCAAAAAAGGCAAGTCACAGCATCTAAATCCTCTGAGAAATCTAATGTCCTACCAAAAGCACCCGCAGTTGTTAGTCAGGCTCCTGACTCAAAGAGTTCTCGAGGGAGGACCATCCGTAAAAGGCAAGCAGAAAACTCAAGCTCCGCAGCATCACCAGAGCCCAGTGGCTCAGTGCACGTGAGTTATATTTTATTTGTCTTGTTCAGATTTGCACAAACATGTAAGCAGCAACGCCATTTGAATGAGGAATTAGTATGAAGCCCTCCTCCACTCAATATCTGTGCTAAAAATATGTTAGTTCGATACCGTGATGCTTTGGAAAAACACTGTGAACATGTGAGGAATACCAAATTCCCCCTGATAAATCTCGTATTCCTAAAAAAAAAGTTATGCATAGTTTTCTTTGAGATTTTCAGATATTTTCGATTAAATTGTGAACAATATTGTCTGAAAAATATAAAGACTCACAATTTTCACAGTGGGTAAATTTGTTTTTTTTTCCAAATGAAATATGGCAACGTCTCCAAAAAAATAAGTGGGTGCTGCTTTTTAGGTTACTTACCTGTGTTTTCTCTGCATTTTTTTTCTCTCAGTATTTCCATGGAAACTTGAGACCTTTCATAATATTTTGTTTCTCATGTGGCCGTATGTCACACTTTTGGCTTAAAGTAGTCATATGAATTCCAAAAATCCAGCATTACATATCTCATCACTTCTGTAAAGGAACTTTTTTTACCAAAGTTAATTTACATTCGGATCAAAATTCCTGAAATAAGTAGAGTGTTGCACGTATCTAGCCAGAGGGAAGTTCCTATTTAACTCCGAATGTGAGTGATATAACTGTAAAAATATGAAGGTGTGTTAAACTCTACTGAAGTTTTCAGGAAAGTAGATTTCAGTTGGGATACTTCACCACCAGACAGTGTGGAAAATCAAGCACTCTCATGTATTTTGTGAGGACACAACGGAATCATCAATAATTTCCAATTTCACCTTGAAAGTGAGAATTAAGTGTTTTCAATTGCTGGGGAAAAGAATGAAAACTCTCAAGGCCAAATTAGGGACTGATTATATTAATTTCAGGACGATTTATTATGAAGTAATTTTGAATACATCTTGACAAGTATAACATTGCTGTACATTACAGCAAGGAGAGGAAATTGCATGGACTGTGACTGGTTTTAGGGCCTAGTGAATTTCATTTTCCTTTTTTTTTGCATGATCGTTTGTAACCTCCAAAGTACGATGTGCTTTAAAAAATTGAACTTACTGCGTACCAAGCTTTTAAAATTCGGGGGTGATGAATGTATTTCCTCAGTGTTTTTACAGGAGTTTTCCTCTTGGAAATGCTGCATCATCGCTGCCGCATTGAATTTTGGGGCTGATCTATGTTTGGAATTAAACGAAATGCAACAATGTGGCATACGCCATTATCACTATCAATCTGGAAACATTCTAGTTTTTTTTGGCTGAGAAATGTAGGGAAGTAAAGACATGAGTCTATCTCATTATGGCAGCCAGGCAGGGGAGGAAAGTTCTTTACAATCAACAATGTGCTGTAGCTGTTTCAATATTTCTACTGTAAAAAACCTTATAAATGTGCTAAAAAATTCGCTTTTCAGTTCTGATTCCTGCTTGCAAAATCAGTAGGAATGAAGTTCGGTTATTGAGCTCAAGAGGCTGTTCAGAACATTCTGAGAGTAACAAAACTCAGCCAGTGTAGAATCCCTTTTGTAATATGAGCGATTTCTTTTCTGTGAAATGAAACTTTGGTTTTTTGTGAAATGTATAGCTAAGTCTTTGGTGGCAGATACGATCTACATTAATTTAGTTTCTTGGTAAACAGGGAGTTAATCATTGGTACTAGATAAATGGTAGATGCTCCTTTCTCTCTCTTAAGTTGATTTTGGACACTTTGAACAAGGCAAATATGTTCTACTTATATTTTACAGCACATTTCTACTGATAATTGATGAGGAAACATATCTTGTGGTATTTGGATTCCTTCTATGTCTCGATGGTCCATTCCTGAATTTGCAAACCTTCAAATTTTGGAATGGGAATATTTCTTCTTTTCCTTCCATTTCTAGAATTTCACCAATGTTTATTTTAGTATACTACCCGCTTTTTATCCTAATTATGATTAATAATTGTTTCAACAGGGGCGGAAACGTTCGAAAGTAGAAAGCGCCCTGCCAAGAGATGACCTTATTTCCTTAGCTGCCTCTAAAGCAGGAAAATACCATAAAGTTCCGAAAGTTATCAACGGCATTAAACTGTCTCCAGAAGAAAGACTGCTAGCCTTGCAAAAGTTGCGGGGGGATGTTGGTACATGGATTCAATGTTGTCATGCTCAGTGTTCAAAGTGGAGGTATGTCCATGATATCAAAGATCCTGTCCAAGTTCCGCGTCTCTGGTATTGCAGGAATAATCCAGGTAAGTTGTTCAACTGTCTCCTTGTTTTAATAGATTCGGCAGTGTGAGCAAAAGAGGGAAATAAGTATTGCATCACTACTTCTTTGAACGTTTTTACTTTTAAGAATCGAGGGTGTTGTTCTGCTGTAGGTATGACAACATGTAGCTATCAGTCAATGAGAGAAAAGAGGGAAAAGTCCACAACTCTCAATAAGTAGGTATAGACTGGGGAGGATTTTTCTTTTTCTGCCCTTTTATTCTTACGTTTTGTAGGGCTATTCTTATTACTCGTACCTAAGAATAAGAATTATTAGTATCATTTCTGAAAATTTCACATCATAATGTTTTAAGTACTCTGGCCTGTTTAGGAGAGTTTGATTTACCTCTAATAGAAAACATTGTTTGTTAATAGGTTTTTGCAGAATGTTTATGTTCACATCAATTTTTTGGAATAGGAGAATGAACACATAAATGAACAAAATTACACAAAAATCATCCATAAGGTGTTAGAGCAAGTTACATTTGACTTTAATTGATCTGCTAAGTCCAGGAAATTCTGCAGAATGGCGGAATTCCAAATTAAGTAAACTAGATAGTATCCATTGACAATATTTAAAGTATCAAAAGGGTTCAGAATCTTTTGTGTTACCTGAATTTATCCATCGACAATGTTTTAAAGTATCAAAAGGGTTCAGAATCTATTGTGTTACCTGAATTGGTTAAAACGATCATTTCAAGAGCTATGCAAAAAAAAAAAAATTGAATGAGTGATGAGTGATAATAATGGATGGATAATTAATATGTGTACGTAATATTAGCTCATCAGTGTCAAATAAAATAGCAGAAAATTATCGTCAATTTTCCTATTTGCAGACCCAGAATACAACTCTTGTTTGAAGCCAGAGCAAAAAATGACTGCAGAGGAGGAAGAGGATTTAATTGAAACAAAATTTACCGCCGGCTCTGTGGTGTGGGCCCGTGTTGTTGGCTATCCATTTTGGCCAGCTATGGTCGAAGATGATCCAGATTATGATCAGTTTTATTGGTGTCATGATCGTGATCCTCAAAAAGTGGTAAGCCTCTTCTCCAAAACCTTTTATCATCTTTGCACTGTGCTTGCACCACTTTTAGGGTACTACTAAACAAGGATACAAGATTTCAAAGAACTGGAGCTTGCCTCAAGAACAGGAAGGATGCATGATCCAAATCGGCAGAATTAATAAGCTCCTAAGATGCTTAATGTTGAAACTTATTATTGTATGAAAAAGGAGACAGTTCATCAATCTGTTTTCACTAAAGTCAAGATGCATCCTTAAGTAAGACTGAAAACCCTTTTACTTCCGCACCATAAATTTTTTACTAATTTATTTGAATAAATAGGAACCTGACTTGAAAACGGAATATGTGGGTCAACGTTTTTCACCAGCCTATTGAATTGGTCATTCTCAAAAAAGTCTTAGCGCCAGACTTGAGAATTTGAGAAAAACAGTGGAAACTGTCTTAATCGATCTGTTCTAAATCTTGGAGGTCAGAAAAATAATTGTGTAAGAAGAGTGCTGTTTAAAGTTGAATTGTGGTTGTTTCAGAAATTTTCCTACATTTTGAACAGAAAAAGAAAAAATAACAAATCGGCCTTAGAGTCTTTTTTGAGAGTAGACAGACTTATTTTAACACATCATTCCCTTTTAAAGTTACATTTTTAGCATTTCAAACTGTAATGTACACAAAAATTTTCATTTACTTTCTTTGCGCAAACACCGATGATAACTTACTTACTAATGATCACATCAATGACGATAGCTTAAAAGTGCAAGAACTTATTAAAATCTCAAAAATAGAGCCTTGCTTGGCTTGAAAGAACAAACATTTACTCTTTTATTCTTGGAAATTTGATTTAACTACCTAAAGGACTCAAAATGGATTAAATCAAGATAAGCGAGTACCATACAGCGCTTTGGTGCCAGAGTCTTTTAAAAATGACTGGGCTTTTCAGATGTTATTAGGCCTTATAATCAGTTTGTCTGCTCGTCACTTTCCAACGTTATGCATCTATGCTTAAGCAATACCCGACCACGGAAAACTCGATTTTCCATTTTTTGGCGCCTAAGTCTTTTTGAAAATGACAGATTCAATTAAGAACAACAAGAAAGTTGGCAAACTATTAGTTGTACAATAATGTATGGATAGATGTTGGTTGGGTCATCGATTCAAAGACAACAAGCCATCGTTCAGTATTTGGACTTTTTAATTATGATTATTTCAATATTTTACCATTGTCTCTTCTTTCTTTTGCATTGATTTCATTCTTTGTCTTTTTCAGACTCAGTATCATGTTACCTTTTTCGACACAAAAGCTGTTACTCGATCATGGGTTACCACTCCATCAGTCAAAGCCTTCACAGAATTAGACAACCCAACCAAAAGGGTAAGCTCCTTGGGATGAAGCAAATTTTATCTAAAATAAGAATGCTTGTCCAAGTCAGATTTAGAGCTCAAGTAGCATGCTGTGTAAGAAAGTTGCAAGAAGATGGTAGATAAATTGCAATTTCTTTGCGTGACAAAAATGGGCCTGTTGCAAACTTTTGCTAGAGCAAAACTAAGAGTTGTTTCTTATAGATAATGCCTCAAAAATCACGATGAGCGCATCGGCAAAGTCTGAAATGCACTCATAACTTCACAATCTGCGTAAGAAATTTGCGGTTTTTTGAGCTTCCCGCTTCAAAAACGATACTACGGCACAGGTGAACATTTTGTTAGAGGAGTCGTTCCATCGTCGGCAATACTCATCATGGCCGACGACAATCCGCCAAAACACCTGTGATGGGACGAGATAACACCTGAACAGGATTAGACTAGATAACAATCGGCGTGTTTACGTTCATATTTTCCTCACCCGCCTTGATTGACCTTGAACTCTCCTCAAAATACGCGCGGAACTGCGCAAGCGTCGGCCATGATGAATATCGCCGACGATGGAGCGACTCCTCTAACAAAATGTTCACCTATGCCGTAGTATCGTTTTTGAAGCGGGAAGCTTAAAAAAACGCAAATTTCTTACTCAGATTGTGAAGTTATGAGTGCATTTCAGACTTTGCCGATGCGCTCATCGTGATTTTTGAGGCATTATCTACAAGAAACAACTCTTATTTTTGCTCTAGCAAAAGTTTGCAACAGGCCCATTGCTGAGTAATTGCAATAATATTGTTACAGATCCATGTAAACCTGTTGCCAGCTAGCTGCCTCTTTCAAGCGAGCGTCAAAATTTAGGCGTTACAAATTTTTTTTTTTTTTTAATTTTTGTCTCAAGAATTTTGCATTTTTTTACTATCTGATCCAGAAAATTTGGCAAACAGTTGCGGAGAAACTGAATACTAGTGCAATTATCTTGCAATCAAGTTGGAACTTTTTTGTTGCGAAATGCTTCTTGGAAGGTTCCATATTTTTTCTAACTCATCCAAAATTTTAGAGATTGATCAACCCATGTGTCGATCAGAGCCAATAATATGTAGGATTTTTCAGAGCTCCTCAGAACACAATGACCTGTTGACACCAAATATTTGAACCTGGGGATGAATCTTAAAAATAACAATGATTTGTTTATGTATGTTTGATTCCCAATTGACGCACAGTGCCTTTACTGCTGCTGTTATATCTACGGTGCTGCTTTTCTATACAGAGTGATCCATAAGTCCCATATCACTCTTGAGTCCCTAGGGTTTTTGCCTCATTTCTGGGCAATCCGCCTAAAATTTTAGGGGGTTTAAAAAAGCCCTGACCTGGGAGCACTCTCATAATTTCGAGTTCATATCTCAACTTGTTCAGAAGTAACAGGGAGCAGTACACAGCCTGGTGATGGTGTTACAGGACTTTTAGATCACCCTGCAAATGGAGCCAATCAAGTATCTCAATCTGCTTTATTTGTAATTTACTCACACCAATTTAAATGGACTATCTAAGTACCTCAAATTATGATAACATCCGGAAAAACAATTTATCATTATTTTCATTTTGTTTCTGTAGCTAACTGGTAAAAATGCTTGCTATGCTTCACGCATCAATGAAGCAAAAAAGGAAGCTTCCATTGCCCTCAAACTGACAAATTCAGAACGTCTAGCTAAATGTAGTTTTATCAAACGTTTCGCTGGACCAATTAAGAAGAAAAAATCAGGTAAATTCCTTCAGAATTTTTTAATGAGTGCCGGACTTCTGGACCTCTTTTAACTATTCATATAAATGGTGCTTTGAGAATGAAGTGATCCATTTTGCCGATCAGCCAGAATTTTAACCATTATTTTGATGAAAGTATTTTTCCGGGTGATTCTGTAAAATTTTCACTTTGATATCTTGTTGTCTGAAAACCAAAGTTGGACGCACTGTGGGCTAGTTATCACCAAAATCCTGTTTCTAATCTAAGAGACCTGGTACTTTTTGCTATTTTCAATGCGTCAGTATGAATAGTTATTTAGAGACAGGATTCTTGAATCTATTTCGAGATTTTATAAAACTATTACATATCAACACCAATATTCCTCATGGGACCTCTCATTAAATGCACAATGTCCCAGGGGAGAGGGGATTGAGGAGAAAGTTACACCAATTTTTTTATGTGTGTTGGAGGATTAGTAAGGAACCATTTTACCAAAGCATCAGCGGAGAGGGGGAGGTGTCGAAAAATCCAGATTTAAGCGTTGCGTATTTCATGAATGACCCTTAAATGATTGGTGTAGAGACTGATGTTTTGATACTCCCAAAATAATCCACCCAATCCTCGATATTCAAAATTGATCCATCATACTCTCAATGCAAAGCCTTAAATTTGAAGATCCCCTTTAAGAGATCGTTTAACAAAAGAACTGCAAAACAAATATATCATCGGAAACTTGAACGTTTCGAAGTATCACAACTTCATGTTCAACTGGCAGAAAAAGGAAACGAAACAAACGGGGAGAAAACCCACAAGAAATAATGAGTTGTCAACCGTTTTTTTTTTTTTTGAAATAGCTCACCAAAACTGATCACAGTCCCAGTTTCTTAAAAAAATTTGTGATGCAGCCTTTTCTCCACCTTTTCTTTTTTACTTTTAAGAGGCATTATGCTGCTTTTAGCCTCATATGTTTCATAAACTTTGTCGAGTGTCAATCAATCATTTACGTTTACTTTGTTTCTTTTCAGCCTTCTCTGATAAAACTGGTGAATGTTCGTTCAATTCTAGTGAGGACTCAGACTCAGCAATTAGTAAGTTCAGGAAAAGAAGCTATTTTATTCCTTTCTGAGAAATGAAGTCGAAAAATACTTTATGTTACCTAATTTTTGCATTTAGGTGGAATTGAAATTATAAAGCCAATTATGTTATTCTGTAGTTAAATTAATAACTATGCCTTATTTTTGCCGATTACTTGTGATTTCTAATGCCCAGTCCTCGGCTTCTGGGTAAATTGTATTATTGTTCATGCACTGAAATGTAACTTTTTTGCAGGCTATTCGCCTGTCTAACAGTGCCCTTGAGTTCTGAACTAAAGTCAACGTCCTTTTTTTCTTCTTTTTTTATTTTAAAAAACAAAAGAATAAGTTTACGTCCTCTACTCAGAAACATTTTGGAATTCAGATACATATTCTCATTTTTTACTTGTAATTTTGTATATTTTTTACTGCATATCGCAGATATGCAAATATACTGATAATATTTTGTTCCAAGTTTTTCACCATTCAGGAGAAACTTTTATTGTCTTTGAAGGATGATGGTATCAAGCATCTTCTCCAGACTTAGAATGGAAGTTTCGGTGACTTCCTATAGGAGGCTGTTAAAGCTGATGCCATCCTCATTTTTCATTTCAGGTCTAAAAAGGCATGTGCCTATTTTTTGGAATTCCCGATTATGCAAATCTATTAATTTGCTTGTTTTTTATTTATTCATACGTTTTGAGACTTCAATCTAGAGTTCTAAGCTCTTGTTGATAGTATTCCAATGGTTTTTCTTTTTTTTTTTTTATAATTGCCTCTACACTTTCCCCACATCATTGGTTACCAACGTAATCTCAATCTCAGTCATAGTTTGATGAGTACAGTGGCATCTTATCCAGCATCAGCCAAGCAAATTTTTGGCCACACTCAGCACATGATTTGGTTTCTTCTCATCATTGCTCAATGCCTTAATATTATGGTTGCCTCTCGTTACTATTTTGTCTTTGACTGCTTTTTGGTTTTATTTAACAATTTGGTTATCAAGTTGTTCATTTAATTGCTTCTGAAATCTTACGGTGAAAATGTAAGGTGACGTCGTCGCCTTACTAATCCTTAACACCGTCTTGTCTCTCTAAATCTCTCTACTCTCATCCTAACTACTGCGCCTAAAAGTATAAATATCCCCTGTGCCTTTAAGCAAGAATTCGTAGGCTTTGAAATAAAAGCATAACTTATAGCTAGCAGGTGGGCAGTTGGTCTCTCTATTTTTAATATTATTTTATTTTTTTGTGTGTGCAATTTTGTTAGAAATAAGCATTGGTGATAATGAATTAAGTATAAAATTAATCCTTTTAATAGCTCAAGATTTCTTTCTTCACTTTTGAGATTTAGGACATACCACAATCCAAAACTTGGAATCCAACTCCAAATTTTGGATTGGGTACCACCTGGGAAGAGGCGACGGGGGCGTCCCGTAAAGGGTTGGCGGCAGGGCGTTGACGAAGAGATGTTGCGGTGTCAGTTGCCCGATAACCTCTGGGAAGACAGGCATATGTGGCGTTTGGGTGTCGTAGAACGCCGAAGTGCGTTGTAAAGCGACTTTATATATAGGACATACCACAACCTCTCTTTGGATTTTTTCGTTAGCTATGTACAATCATCTCTCACTCAATGCAAGGACTTTTTGCAATCATCTCCCACTTCAGATCACCAAAGTCCAAAATTTGGCGGAAGATAGTCCGCCTACCAGCATCAAAAGCTTTTATAAATAGAGTGATGATGAGAGAGATAGCGGTCTGCTTCATTTGTAAGCACCAGAATTCATTTTGGGCCCATCTACCATACTGCCATGCTAAGGAAAAACGCCGTATGAACCTTCAGGCGGTGCCAAATTTCCTTTGATAAAAACCCAATTTACTGGGCAAATTGTGAACATTTTTTTCCAAAATTTTCAGACAATTTTGTACGCAATTCAATCTAAAAAATCTGAAAATTTCAAGGAAAAATATGCATGAGTGTTGTCAAATATACACGTTTTATTGATGGAAATTTAGCAACTCCCTAATGTTCATACAGCGTTCTTCCTTAGCACAGCTGCATAGCCATTGCATGTTTTTCAGTAATTAATTAATTTATTCATTTGTTAAGTTTAGTATTCAGTGAGTCCTCTAAAGGCTTCATCCTACATTACTGCACCAATTTAGTTGGCCTAGAATCATTCCATTTTTCATAACTGTTCCTTCCGAGTGACCATAAATGAAATTATGTCCTAAAAATTCCTTGCCGGAGTAAATCCGTACATAAGTAAGCTTAGGTTCTGAAGGCATTTTATTCCCAACGTATTTAATTTTTATTGGTAACTTGTTAATTTTTGTTTGTTCTTCAGATTTTATTATTGCAATTTTTTATTAGTATTTATAGTTGACATAGTCTCATAGTTTATGCCAAATGGATGTTGTAATTGAAAATCCCAGTCTTATGGGATAGTGTAAAGGTTCACGCAGCCTTAATAGTGCTTGGTTTTGGAACGTTCTTTAAGGTCTTGAAAGTGTTTAATTTTTTGCGAGGTGCTTGACTTGTACTTTTTACCAGTTGCTAGTAACAAGTATAAAAGCTTTTACTGAAAAAATGCTGAGAAATAACACAGCATTTGGCGTTAGTAGATTGTTTGGAAAGGTTGTGATTTCATGGTTTCTTTTGAATTAGGGTTCCTCCTGCCCTGAGAAACAATAATTGCTGACTGCCAATCAAAGTCCTGGCAATGACAGAAGCAGCAGTGCTTCACTTGCACAATGTGCAACCATCTGAAGCTTATCATGTAGGAAGGCTCCTAACAAAAAAATGAGTGGATAATGGAATACTCCCAGCAAAATTCTCATCATTGACAATCATGATGTGAGGAGTTAATTATGCGTGCAGGCAAAAAATAAGAAAAAGGTCTTGAAGAGTGCTTAAAAATTCTTCAAGAGGCGCTTGATTTTTTATTCTTGTGGCTGCATGAAGCATTAACATTTAGCCTGCTTTTTTTTCCGTTTTTGTGAATGCCATTATAAAAGGGTTTAATGAATGTGTCGCCCACATCCTTTCGTCTGCCAAAAGCAGCTTACTCTGTCTGATGCTAAACCTCTATGCCCAATTTTAACGAAGATTTCACCCATTGGAAAACATGGTTGATGTCATAACTTTTTTTCTTCCACCATGGTTTCACCTGTGATGTAGGTACGTAGTAGTACATTGCATTGCAAATTATTTTTATCTAAAACTGATGGGAAAAATCTATCGTTTAAAAATTGGGCTTTTGATCCAATTACTTAATTTTCATAGACGTTTTTGTTCGGGCATGCAAATGTGATTCCATAAGCAATTCAGATGATCCATTTCTTGACACTGCCCATTTAAATGAATATAAAATCCAATTTGTTCCAGACAGTGAAGATGATATCCCCACTAAATTTGCTACAGAAAGTCTTAAAACCCTCGACCCACGCCCCCAGAACAGAAACCTAAAATGCAAAGCCACCAGCTCAGGCTCGAGCAAAAGTCTGCCAAACAATGACACGAATAGATCTAAGAATACTCCCTCTGAAGATAAGATTCCGTCCAACTCCAAGCAAGTAAATAATGCTCCTCCTATTAATAGTGAAACACCAAATCTTGATCATAGTGATAAGCCCTGTTCTGCCTCAATTTTTGATTGTAACAATCAATTTGATAATGAAGTGACTTCAAGTCAGGATATCCTCCCTGATCTTCCCCTGAAAACGGACTATATCGTTCTCTCCCCAGTGATGGATGATATAAATCAGTTGACTCCCGATGACATCGGTGCTTTGTCGCAAGGAGTTGTTAATTCCGATGGAGGAATTTTCGATTCTGTTGCATCCGGTTTCCAACGTTTGTCCCAAAGTCTCTTTGGATCCCAAGATATAAATTTTAACTCTTAATTTCTCAAAGATTCCATAACTGACTCCATCTTAATGTTACTATTTTTATACATTTCTTATGTTGAATCTCTTTTTATTAATAATGCCAAATTTCTGTTACGTAGAAAGCTAGGTTTAAACTCTAACTTTAATCGTTTCTTCATGATACGTATTTTAATTCCGTTTTTGTGTGTCAAAAGAGATAGTCATCAAGGCCATCATGATATTTGCAACTTTTTCTAAAATTATGATTTTTCGGTTTTTTTTCCTATTGTTCCCATCCTACCTAAGTACCTTTCTTAGGAATAAGCACTAAACTTGTATTTAGTTTTGAAATTATGTAAAAGTTTCCTAATAATATTAGTGTAATAAGTCTTCATATCAAATTCATAAAGTTGTCAAGACCGTTATGATATCATTTCCCAGAACTATAACTTTCAGTATTTTATTAATTTTTTTACTCAGTATTTAGTTATTTTTTTACTCAGTATTTAATTTTTTGTACTACTCCTTACGAATTTTTTGTTACAATATTGTTAAAATGAAACACTATCTGTTCAAGTATAAAAAGCAAACTCCCTCAGAGTATCTGACTTAGTTTGTATTAACTCTCAGGTAGCAAGTAATTAAAGCAACGAACCTGTGAAGGTATGTTTCAACCACGTTTATCTTCCAACTTTTAAATACAAGTATCACAATCATCATTTTAAATAGTTGTTTCAGATGTGCCTTTTAAAATAAACAAAATATTTTCTTTGCTTATTCTTTTGTTTCTCTTTCCTTGCATTTAAGTTTAAGTAAGGATAATCTTCTAGCAAATAATAATATGAACCAATATTTGGGATGTCCATCTGAGTTTTGAGTCTGATGAATGAGTACAAAGAGAGTTTGAAGCCAACAATTTGTTTATTGATCCACACTTTTGTAACAAATAGGTTATGAATTAAATGCAGGGTCAAAAGAGTGTCTTAAAAAATATCTGGAACTGTTGCAACAAACATAAGTAAATATAAATATATATACACAACAATAAATTAGTAGAAGGATCCTTTTGGGGGCCGTGGAGGGAGAAAAGGGTTCAGAGGCTAGTTAAATACATATCGACGGTGAACCACGTATCTCGTTTACGGTGTTTAAAAATCTACGCTCACATTTTATTTTTTTGAAGTAGACCAAATCAATATCATTCCTTGAAATTTTCACGGAATTTTCTCCGCACAAAGAGGAAAAATCACAGAAATTTTCAAGACTGGATGTTAAGTAGTTTTTCATTTAAAAAATAAAGTATGACAGGAAGTCTGCGACGTCGCAAACCGAGATACGTGGTTTGGTAGTTTCACCGTCGATATGTAGATCTCTTATTTCACAAAGTTAATTTAACAATTCACAAGAAAACACTAGCAAATGTTCGATCCCAAAATATTTTGTTGCTGATCGAAGCTTTTCTTATTTGTATTGGTGCCTTATTGATTACATGTCAAATGATCTTCATTTGTTGTAAAATGGCATTAAAATAGGACGGAGGAAAAGATTGTAAATAATCAAAATTATCCCTTTTCCACTCCTACAAAATAAAACTGAAACAGACATTGATTGTACGAAAACGTATAGGTATCAAACACTGCAGCTTTGTGAAATTTCTACTTGATACGCAAATTTCGTCATAAAAACTAATCATGAATCAATTTCTCTCACTTAATATTCACCAAAAATTTCCATTTATGATCTTGTACTTGGATAGTTATCATGTGAAACAATAAAAAATAACACCAACAATTTAGCGGCAACACAATTCTGATAGGTGCATGACTTTACATGAAAGCCATTTGCCTATCAGACATTGCAGGACTGCAGTAGATTTCAAAAAATCAAAATCTGAAACAATTCAAATCTTAACTAATTTTTTTCACTCGGAACACCTGTTTTGAAGCTGATATCTTCTGATCAAAGATATTTCTCCAGAGAAGGCAATAAAATTAAAACAGTAGGCAATACCTTCTCTTCAAGGAAAAAAGAAGGTGATTATGGGTTAAGGGTTAAATAACACTTAAATTTTTTCTTTAGTTTGAAAAATTTCTTTTAAAAATAATTGTACTTAACTAAGACTAGGAACTGCATGTCTTGTATATGAATTAAATGAATAAAAACTGCTCTTCTCAAAAGGATACTTGTAATTAATTGAAACAAAGCAATTAATGTTGTTTTCATTTGAACCTTTTTAAGAGAAATGTGCCATATTTCTATGTTGAGTGACATGATACTTTTTATAGAAAATGGGTGATCACTGATCAAGCAGAAGTAAATACTTTCAATGATTAAAAATGTACATCATGCTGAACTGATTTTAGGATTTTGATTTTTCTTCACAAGATGGATTCCATCCTAAGAATTAGTTTCTTTATTCTAAATTCCATCTATGATTTTTTGTTGGATGGGAATAGAAATTCGATCGCTTGTAGAAATGACTCATTAAATCGCTGTGTGGAGAACCTGTCAGTTGACGAGCGCGCTCTTCTCTGGAGCTCATCAATGTAAGATTTATCTGAACAAAGGATAGCCTTAATGCACTGGGCATATTCTCTTTCATCAGTCGCTAAAAACCCATTCCTGGAGGTATCAGAAGTTTCTATGATATCCAATTTTGGACCACCAGACTCGTGAGCCACCATTATCAAACCGGCAGCCATACATTCAACAATACCTATTCCAAAATGCTCATTCCACATTGTGTGAAGCCCTATGAACCCTTTCTCATATTCTGCCTTCAATTGTGTGTAAGAAACATTGATTTTGAATTCTACATTATCTTCAACAGAACAATGTAGACACAAATCTTTGATGTCTTTTAAATATGCCTCATCATCTTTGTTACGAGTGGATCCTACCAGAACTAATTTCACTGACGACCAAACTTCAGTGGGTAAAATTTGCCTCAGTTCAAACATCGTTTTAATTTGCAAAACATGATCTTTTTCAGGTCTAAATTGACCTATTGAAACAATACGTTTCTCTTTGTTAGCATCTCTACTTAGAGGAATCAATTTGAGATCCTCGACATCACATGGCGGATAAACTCTGAATGTTTTCAAGGGGCAACACCAAAGAGAATTGATATGACCCTCCGTCCACGAGGAATTTACCATTATTACATCTGCACTTCTGCCAACAAAAGAATAAATCCAAGAAAAAATGCGATAATAAATAATTTTAAGGTTACTTAAAAATGGGCTCCTGGCAATGAACGACTCATTGTTGTATGATTTCACTCGTCTTGACACTCTTTTCAGCATGTCTGATGTAATAACTGGATAGTGAGTGTATGATGCGACTTTACATCCACCAAGATAGGAAAATAAAGGCATGGTGAAGGCATATCCCATTGTATCGATGTAGATGTCAGGTAAGAAGGCGTAAATGGCTTCAAAACCAAGAATAACAGAGCCAAGACTTTGGCCCAAAAGGGTAAAAACTGGATACATTTTGCTTTCAACCCATTTCCGATTTTGAAGATACACAAATTCAACAGTTTCAGGCACTTTCATATTGAAGCGTTGCTCTGTCCTTTTCAAGATATCTTGAGGAGACGCGTCAATATCACCAGTGTAGATGACAATTTTGGCATCAGGAAATTTGTTTCTGACAGCAAGCACTGCACACCACAATACTCTTTCTCCACCTGCGCCAGCATTGCAGTATGGATGGAAAAAGCCCACACTAACACCTGGATTTCCAGAGGCAAGGAGCTTCCGTCTTTTGAAGTAAAGTTTAGCGAACAACAGCAACCCCACGAACACTCCCACAAAAATGCAGCAACAAGTGAGCACAAAAAAGAGAATGTAACTAAATAGAGTCATGATGTAATTTCAGAATTTTTTCCCTCGCGTGAAACTGGAAATAACACTTCATTTGGGACGACAATTGAGTGATGTGTCCTGCAAAACTCTTATCAGTCTTTTTCAAAATGCCACTTCTGCGAAACGTAAACAAAACAAATCTTACGTCAGCTGTTAGTCATGATTAGCAGCGCTCTCTATCGGTCGCCCTCTACTCTACTCATTTGAAATGAAATATTACGCGCCACTTTTTAACATCGCCCTCTCTACTAGCTCATCTCCCCCTTGCTTGGTTCTTTTTCTCTATTGTTCGTGTCCTTTTATTTCTCTCTTCTTTTCTCAAACTTCGCCCCTTTCTCATCCTCTTACTTTTTTCATCCTCTCTTTTCTCTCTTCTCCTTCCGCTTTCCTTCGTACTCTTTCTCATATTTTCCTCCTCTTACGCATTTCTTTTTTTTCCCGCTTTCTCTCTCTTTTCTACAACATCTTCCTTTTTATTTCCTTTCCTTAGTTCTTCTCTCTTCTTTTTACCTTCATCTCTCTCTTTTGCTCTTCTTCCTCTTCCTCGTTTTTACTTCTCCCTCTTTCCCTGATTTCATCTTCATATTCTTCTCATCTTTCTTTCTTATATTTCTTATATTTCCTCTATTTTCTCTATTTCTACTTTCTCTTGTATCTATCTTATTCCTCATCATTTCTCTCCTTTTCTTTCTTGAATCTAAATCTTCTTCCTCCTGATTGCCTTTATTTCTAATTTTTCTCTCTTCTTCATCTTCTTCTCTTTTTTCTTTTTCTTCTTTCTCCGATCTTCTTCATCAGCTTTTTCTTCTTCCTCTACATTCTCTTTCTTTCCTCTTATCCTCTAGACAGGACCAGTTGGTCCTGTCGTTGCCAGCCTAAATAAACTTGCTTAAATCTAAACAGTCTCTATAGTCCTCTTTTCCTTCCTCTTATCCTCTCATTCATTTTTCCCTTTCTTCTTTTTCATCCTCTTTTTACCCTCTTTTATCTTCTTTTTTCTATCTTCTACATCCTTTTTCTTTTTATTTTCTCATTCCTTTTTACCAAGGCCTTGCACACTACTGAAGCTATCAAAACAATTCATGAAAAATTAGCAGTCTACACAAATTTTTCGAGTGCTGAGGCCCCCTTCCTGCGGACGATATACATATTGATGGCTACAGCAAAAAACTAGGTATTTCCAATGCTATTTTGCCAAATTTAGACTCCTTTTCTATTCTCATGAAGAAAAAAAGCCAACTTTATATCTTGAAATCTTTACTGATTATTCTGGCATTGCAGAAGGAAAATCAAGGCAGCTTTCAAAAAATAAAATTGACTAATTTTCTACACAAAAAATGAAGCAAATATGACAGGAAGTTTGCGATGTCGCAATGCCAGTCTCCCTTCAAATTTTAGTGTAGGCAAATGGCTTCCACGTGGTTGATTAGTAGTATTATCGTGAAATGGCACGCTGCAGCTGACTCGAAAACCACTTTTTACTGAGTCGGAAGCGTTTCGTTTTTATTCTTTGATCGAAATATGTCCATCGGAACAGTCCCGATGTGATAGCTCGATGAATTCCAGGAAATTACTCAATTATTGAAAGGAGCGAGTAATAATCTTAAAGTTTATGACTAGAGCATCTAGACCCGTGGCTTCAATTACGAGCTTTTCGCTAGCCTAAGAATATTTAATGGATATTTCAAGCAATAAAAGTAGCTTTTTCCGTCTAAAAAATCAAATACGATGGGAATTTGGTTGTTCCTGCGCTCATGCGCAATTGACGCCCCCATATGTAGTATCCGAATGTAGCCATCCATATCGATGGTAAAACCATCAAACCACCAAACCACAAATCTCGATTTGCGACGTCGTAGACTATACCCAACGTCAATTCTTAAAAATTTCCTTGCTTTTTCTTTTCTGTGCGAAGAACACTTAAAAATTACAAGAAATGATATTGAATTATTCTCCTCCAAAAATAATTAAAATGGGAGCGGAGATTTTTAAACATTGCAAACGAGACACGAGGTCTGGTAGTTTCACCGTCGCATAATATGTCAGTGCCTCTCTGCAAACATTTTTTTAGTCGAATTAAGTAATTGCGTAATGAAGGGGCCACGCATACACTTATTTGGCGTGGACGCGGGAAAGAGTCGACCCGGAAAAATTGTATCGTTAAATCGGAGAACTATTTTAGACAATGAGTCCAAGTTGTTCCTCTTCATGAAACTTAATTTTTGAGAAAAAAAAAAGGAATCTACCTCTTCTGCAATAAAATTTTTTTACCGACATTTGGGCAGAACAAATTGGAGGCATTCTATGTTCAACAATTAATTAATACACAAAATAATATAAATAGTATACTTAATTTGAGAATTGTTCTTCCAATTACTCTTGACAGTTAATACAATGTTGCCAGCATTGACATTTCATCCACTGGCAACAAATATTTTAACCACCTTCAACTTCCGATAAATCCAGTAGGTACCGCAAAAAGGATTCTGTTCAAAAATTCGACCACAAACATTTTCTCTTTCAATTCAAGTCCAAAAGGTCTCGGAAATACGACTGCGTTTTGAAATTGCAAGTTATAAATACAGCCATTAAACATAACAAAGCAGGCCGGCTTCGTCAGTTTATAGTGCCTTCAACATTGTACATAGGCTTCAAACATTACACGACTCCCCACTTCCGACGCGAATGTGCCACACTGCCACCTTAAAAAATCTAGTGATTCGATTCGTTCGTAATCCGACTAAAGGAGCACGAGTGCACACCGAAGATATGAGAATTGTACTCTATACAAATCATACCGTCCACAACGTATTGCTGTTTTATGTAGTGCGCACAACCATGGGAGTCCCCGCTTATTTGAAAATTGGCGGGTCAAATTGTATATTTTGCCGAGCGCGGCACTGAATTGGCGGGAACCAATGGGAGTGGCAGTTTCGACTTGTTTACATTCGCGTTATTTGATAAAAAAAATGTAAACAAGCATGGTCTTCAACTTCTCGTGAGTGTGGGGAGAAGTCCTTAAAATATTTAAAGTTGCTTGAGGATCTTGATTTTTTGTATTATAAGTGCGACAGTTTTTTCCCTCATCTCTCTAAAGAATGTTCAATTTGGTGTTCCCTCGTTCAATTTCCAGTGTTCAAGCCGACACATCCAGGTGTGCTCTCAAAACTTCCGAAGTAGTGTCTGTAAGTTCTCACTATTCACTAATAGTTTGTTAAACTTTCCTCCTCGCACTTTCACTAGCACTGTATACTGCTCGAATTTATAAAGCTTTAAAATTCCAGGAGGCCTCAAATAACCTTCCATTTTGGTTCATTTATCAATTTATTGCTTCCTTGTCACTAGAGATTCACTTGTCATAATGCAAGTGCTAGGTTATAAAGTCAGAGTCTTATCTGTTGAGTAGTATCTATTTGGGACTGGCCAAAGTTTGATTCTCCAATGATGATCATGCCATAAAAATGGTTGATTTCACGCCTCAGAGGTGTTGCAGATTCATAACTATCCCTTCAGGATTGATAACAGGATGGAATAAATTTTCCCTGAAGCCTCGTAGCCTAAGCACTTATCGTCAGAGAAGGAAAACAGAGGAGTTGATCAGACGAGCGACAGACAGAAAAGACTAAATGCCTTAAGGCTGTCATTATAATTTAAATTAAAAGTCAAAAGTTGTGAGACTTTCACCCCCTTTTAATCAGATCTGTGTTTCCCCCATTTGCTCACTGTGCTGCAGCAAAATAATCTTCATTGGTGAAATCTGCTAGTTAGAGTGTATGAGGTCCATTCGGAGAGTTGGTACCTATTGATAATTTCCATTTTTTTTTTTTTTTTTTTTCAAATGAATTTACCTGGGTCTCCAAAAAACTAAAAATTCAACTTGATTATTTTGGATCGAGGGTTTGTTTTCCTAGTTCAATATAGTATTAGGCTTAAAAATGAGTACAGGTACCTTTTTTATCAGGAATTTTCCCCCTGCTTTGGTACACGTGCAATGGGTAGTACGGGCTAAAATGTGGGCAAAAAGATTTTTCAGAGTATATCATACGCTTCAAAAATAAAAATCGTGACGGTCGTGATATAAAGGAAGGTTCAATGGAGTAAATTTGCATTTAAAATCCATCCGGAATCTTCTAAATATCGACACCGACTGCTGTACGATCTTATTTTGATGTGAACACTTCACTCAATGGAATGGAACGTGTTGTAGCGATTTTGACTGCCCCTAGCGGCCGTTTTGACGAAAATGAACACCCACTGTGACGGTCGTGACGTCGAAACCTCACGGCAGCATATACTTTTGAAATATTTTGGGTGGAAAACGCATTTTTTGTAAATCAAATACAGTGTTTATTCAACTACAAGTATTTTTGATGAAATTAGTACAAAAACGGGAACAATTTATCAGACCGAAGAAAAGCTATGAGAACGTAAACACTGCAACCTACCAATCATGACAGTGACGGTCGTGACATTTTCAGCAGTAACAGCTGAAAATGAGGCTTAATACATCGACTTAATCAATTCTTCAGGGAACAATACTTTCGACTTTCGGTTCCGGTAACAACGCTGTATTGTTATTGGGGTCGCAGCATTGTTATCCCAACCAAAATAATAAAAAAGTTTCGTTTTAATTCTGCCGTGCCGTGCTGAGGAAGAATGCCGTATTAGCCGTCAGACGTTGTCAGATCCTCTTTGTCAAATCACGAATTTTCTCGAAAACACATGTGTATTTTTCTTTAAATTTTCCAGGGAATTTCGTTGTTTGTAATTTGATCTATAGTGCCTTAAAATTTCAAGGAAAATAACATTAACGTTCTAAAAAAATACATATTTCTTGAGAGGCAATTAGGCAACATTTAAACGCTCATACGGCGTTTTTCCATAGCACATGATGAACAAAAGTATAGGTTGGATCTGGGATCTTCAAAGAGCATAGAAAGAACAACGATTCTTTCTCTCTGTGTTTGGTGTAATTAAAGAAATGAATGGAATTCTTTGAAACTCATACTATAAACTTTCTCCATGATTCAACAGTCCTGAAAACGAACAATTTCCGAAAATTCTCGGTAAAGTTTCCCCTATAAAATATAAATTAGCAGTGAAGATTTCGAAACTTCGCAACCCAACGCCTCCA